ATCTATTAAGGATCGTCTAAAAAGTTAGCAATAGACAGTTGATACATTGTTTTTTCATTAGATAGGTAATGCATAATTATGACGGTTTTTGTCTTAACATACATATTTTTTGAATATAGAAGAGAGAAATTCACGCACTTCATTGTACATTTTTTTTGCTATTATTTTTTAAAATTATTTTTGATGTTTCTGTTTGAGTAATAACTTCTACATACAGCTCTTAATAATAGAAATAAATATCTACTAATTCTACATCAGTCATCTCCCAAGACTTAAAAAATAACAGTTGTATTATTATACTATTGCACATTTTTCATCACGTCTTTTTATAGAAGTTATGCACTTATGCATATGTTTGTCAACAAACATTTTTTACATGAAATTATAAACATCGCCTTTTTATTAAAAACTGAGTTGCACTTAGTATGCATTAAACTAAAGTACAAAAAATAAACAATAGCATTTATTAATATGAGTAGGTACTATGTAGTACGTATCATAATGAACAATAAAACCCGATTAAAATTGATCGACTATAAAGTATAGTAAATATATACGCTAAAGTATTGAATGTTTCGAATTATCGTTGGCACACTAATATTGTACAGCGGTGTAGGTGTACATATCCCGAAGGGCTAAAATAATCACTAAGCTTTATATTGTGTAACGAGAATTTAGTGATTTGATCACTCTGGATTTCAATTTGCCTAATACTGTCTCAGATAATGAACATGACGTTATTATTATGATTATGAATATTTGCATCTTATTCATGTGATTTTTGTATTTCATCTACAAATTATAAAATCTTGAATAGTTTTTGTTTATTTGAGTTATACGGAGTAAGTATCAAATTAGTGATGAAATTGTTGCATTTCTGTTGGTTAAGATAGATGATAAAAATACGTAATTTTTTTTTATCAGATTAGTGTTTTTTTCACTTATTTTTTTTATTCTTTGTCTATTTTTTTATTTGAATAATTTCTAAAAGTATGATAATTGGGTATTGTGAGTTTTTAAAATGACACCCCAATTAATATTCCCAAGAAAAAGTACAAATCATAATTAACTTTGAAGAAGGTTGATTATACTGGAATTTAAAACATCACGTAAATTGGGTGAGTAGTATCAAAATATTATAATACCTATATAGTTATTACAATTCCTGAGAATATTCATAAAATCCAAAAGCATTTTGGTATTTTCGACGTATTACCTTTTTGTTATTTATGGGATCATTAATCAAAGTATGCCAGCACGTTATTACATTGTAATTGTTGTATTTTTTGGACATCATATTATAATTCAATAAATCAACAAACATACTTAGGTACCGAGTGTTCGTGTATTTGTTTTTGGAAAAATTAAATTTGGGTATCGAAAGTTATTTACGTAGTAAATAATGCAGTGTTTAAGTTGTTGCAGGTGCAGGGAAAAATAATAACTCTCCTAAATACTTAAAATTGTAAATTTAAGTTTCAACAACTCTGTAAGTCATTATTATTTTACTACTACTCTTGAGGTTCTCTTACATCCACTATTAGATATATTTATAAATACAGGATACATCCTTTGTGAAGATCGACAGTGACGATTATTTATAGCTAGATGGTTAAATTTCTCATTGAATTTTGTACTGCCTTAACAATATTTTATACTTCTAGGTAAGTAATAATATGGTTTGTAGACAATGCAAAATCAATAAACCAACTATTGTGTGATACTGTGATGTACTGATGTGTATATGTTTGATGAATATAAGGTCAAATTTGTGTTTAGTCATTGTAATAATTGTGACGAGGCTTAAGAGAAAATCGAATATATTTTGTATGAGTATTAAACTTTTCTCAGCACAGCAGGTCAGTCTACACTTATATTACGTAGGTATGTATGTTCTTCGAACCAGTCGCTTTATAAAACTCTTTTATAGACATAACGTTTTTTCTTCCCACTGCTAATTTTAAATGTCGTTCCTATATTAAAGTTGTTGGGTCCAATAAGCTTGAATAAAACAATAATAGACTTAACGAATTTCTTAGTAATACATAGTACCTACCATTGTTATACATTTTTAATAAAATTGTGTAACAAGTATATTATAATATTTTAAGTTATAATATGTCCTTAATCCTAAAATAATCATTTTTGTTTTTAACTTCTAAGTTTTTATTTTTTGCATAACATTTTAAACAATTAATTTCCATGTAACTAGTAAAATAAAGTTTTTATTAATCATTACATTTGCTCATATCATTTAAGTTTACAAGTTTGTTGTACCAGGTCATTAAAATAAAAATGTATTTAGTTTTTAGACTAATATTACAATTCTTATATCGTAAAAAAATATTTTATGCATTATAAATTATGTATAATATTTTATAATATTAGTTTAAAATAGATAGATATTATTATCCTTCAAGTGCTTGGACTCTGAGCCTTAAAGTATTTATTTTTGATAATAAACAATACATATTAATAATTAATATTTATTTTTGTTTTAAAATATTAGACAATCATAAAATATGGAATAAAAGTTATTATTGAGTTAAAGACTTAAGTTAAAATAAGTTAAGTAATTAATAACTGTTCAATTTTTTTAAAAATATTTATTACAGTGATTGGTTTAAAATTTATTTCTACATACTCAAATAGTTTCTGATTTCAGAGAATATCATAGTTTATTCGTAGAAGAAACATTGTATTATTTTGATTGTTTTGAAAACGATTCATTTCAGAGTTCGATGAACAACCTATTTAATTAAAATCATTTAATTTCTATTATTGTTAATATTATTTTGTTTTATTGGCAGAGGAGAGTCTTTGTAAAATGTACGTACTTCATTAAAATATTATTCGAACAATATTATAAAAAAAAGCTCAAATAGAGGGTTATGAAGTATGGTGTTGGAGAAGAACGTTACAAATTCAATGGACAGAAAAGGTAAAACAATGTGAGGTCTAAAAAAATGAATACTGAAAAATCAACAGGGATACCCTGAAGTTGAGGTGAAAAACATAGATAGGAAATCTAATAAGGAATAGTCCTTGGATAACTACGATAATAGAGGGAACAATTATAGGCAAACCTTGAAGGGGAAGACCTAGAATACCTTTCATGAACAAGTGATGGAGGACAAAGGAATAATAAGAACTAAAAAGATATATAGAGGACAGAGAGAAATGGAGGGAACATCAAGAATCATTTAACCAAATTTCGGATTGTAAAAAATAAAAAGTAGTAGGTAGTCTTATTATTTAGGTGAATAACTAATAAAATCGTTATTTTTCTAAAATAATAATTAGGGTATTCACTGGTTATTGAAAATAAGTGACCATAGAGCTTTAAAATATTATAAAATTGAATACAGCAAAAAAAAACTCAAAAATATAAATAAAGCTATAAACCTGTAACCAATATTCGATTTAAATGTCATATTTTTATTGCTGTTTTACACTGTTGATATAATTTACTATTTAAATATTTTAATCGATAATACTTACTTCAAACCTTACCAACTTACAATCATTTAGCGATGATATATTTTACTGTTTTCAACTTAAACATAAGTTGTGTACAGTTAAAAGTTTTAGTTTAATCTTCAATTGTAGATAGTTTCGTCTACACATTAGTCATCACTCATCATGGCAAGTAAACCAGTCCTCTTGGCATATTCTAAACATCAGAAACATATTTTGTAATTTCCATAATACACCATATTATAACGTACCGACGTGAATAACTTTTTGACGTTGTTGGCGAATCTGTTTGTTAACTAGTAACACTTGAGCTGAATAGTAGTGATACCTCATTATATGCAGCTTAATCAGTATAATGAATCAACTATTGGTTAATATTTAAAATTAAATTAAAAATGAATTTATTTGTTATGACTTATGAATAAAATTTATAAAATTTAAGTGGGCAGTTTAAAAATTATACAAAAGTAGCTTAACGTTAAGCAAATAATATGAATTTTATAAATTCCATTCTTATAGGATTATTATCTATCAATTAAATACAGTTAGGGAATGTGGTACCTTGATATTGAATAGGTCACTGCAATGGATGTCTTAAATTATAATTTAATCATAAGTCATTGAATACGATTATGAAAAGCGATTCTGACTTCTGAGTAATGTAAATATTTAAATTTTGATACCCGAAAGTACCAACAAGATTCAATTTTCTACCAGAAAAAGAAAGTAAAGAAATTTAAAGTAGAAAATCAAAGCATTTTTCCTACTTCAAAAAGTGACTTCAGAAACAAAAATCAAAAATAAACACACAACATCATAATAAATCCAGTACATTCATTGCTCCACCCAAAATTAAAAATAATAGTATAGGTATCAATTACAAATAAATGACGAAATAAATCTAAACTGTTATTTAATATTTGTTTAATTACATTGAGTGTTATGCTATGTTTCTTTCCTACAATAATTTATTTTTATAAATTAAATTTATGAAAATATTATAACCCAAAAAATTTCACCCCTCATATTTGCAATTATATGTTTCGAATTTCGTTTTTATTTAATGCATAATGATAATTTGCTAATCACATAATAAACTCCAACAATATAACAAAAAAACATAAAATAATTTTGAAATGCGATTTTGGAAAATTATTGATAGTCATAACTATTTATTGCATTTTGTATTAGCTTGACTAAAAATAAAAAGTTTTGTTTAAATTGTCGTAAAAAAATTGTAAGTTGTTATATGTAAAAATTGTAAATTGTTTAAAAATCTGAGCTTTTAAAATATATGGAGTTAATCTCCTTAGATATATTAAAATGTTGAATTATTTATTCCAACGAGTATTCAAAAAGTTTATTAAGGAGTTATATCTTCTAAACCAGACTGCAAGATTAGAATAATATTATAATATAATAGGTGAATGAGGACGAACATCGTAAATTCGTAAGACACCAAGTATTTAGCATTCGCACTTCGATTTAAAATTAATATCGCTAGCAATAAAAACAAAACAAAATTAATTTTGCATAAGTTATTTTATTTTCATTACTTAGCATAATGTATGACATAGAGCATTGTCATTGTCATCCTTTCTCTCAAGTTTACAGTAACTTTTACTTCCAAGGTTTGGCTTTAATAAAACGTCTATACTCTATTATGATATGCATCGATCGTCGAGTTAATCTATTAATGCACTAAGGTGGAAATCGTAAATTATGGATTTGTTTAATACTCTGCAAAAAGTATATAAAATATATACGATAAGGGATTGTAAAGTTAGGGTTTCAATCACACTAAAATACAATAAAAGTAATAAAAATAATTAAACATAAAATAATAAAAAAAAGAAAAAAATAGTAATAATAATTATAGTTTTTAACACATAAAACGACGACGAATGAGCGTGTTACTTGAAGCACACGGGTCCCACTTCGAAACCGAACGCTTGGTGTGGCAACCCGTAGTCGATCGGATAGAAATCTGTCAACGGCAGACTGTCCAACTTGTTGGTACGGATTTCGAATACGGTTTCGCTTTTAGATTTTCTCGTCTAGAAAAAACAATTTATTTCATTACATAAAAAAATTGTTCATCATTTGAACACAACAATTCATAGATCCACAACATCTTATTATTTCAATTCGTTTCGATTGCTGAAGAAAGTGTAAAAATATTATTGCTTGGAAAAGGATAGATGATTATGTAAATGTTGCTCTTAAAAATGTTATTTGACTGTAGGTATAACGACTATTTACTAACTACTATAACTAGCTATCGAGTCTCAAATGAACTTCGTCATTGAGTTAGTCACGCAGTAATAAATATGTTGAATTTGGATTCAGTTATAAATTATTGAATACGAAAAACGATTATGAGCGTAGGCGGTCTGTCAGCCTATATTAAGAAGGACATTTTATTATATCAAATATTTTATATTGTTATCAGCCCTTCACATCAAATTTTGTTACTAATCAATTGAAAAAAGCATTAATATTTATTTATTTTATTAATTATCTTATTTGAATAATAAAATGATTTATATACTTTATTTAATTAACAACTTGGTTTAGAAGTCTTAAGAATAAAATTTACCTCTGGATTTTGGATAAACTCGTAGTCACAGTCCAGTTATGAAAAATGAGACGTAACATAATGCAATTATGATGATATACTGTGTATTTAATGAAAATGATTAATTAATTGTGAGGAAAAAAATGATTTTGCATAACATTTGCAGTTGACAGATGCTATCATAAAATCACAACAAATATTAGTAATTCTGATATAAATACTCTACATACTATGGTGTTTTTAACATTATTATGATTTGATTATTTTGGTGAAGAATACATTTTTTTTAAAAAATATTTTGCACAAAATTTCTTGAGAAGTAAGGAATCTATTTTTTTTTTAAATTAGTATTAGTAAAATACATGTGATTATTTTTAATTTGAACATACTTACTTAATGATAGATAATCAAATATTTTGAGATTTATTATGAGTACTTACCTATCAATGATAATCCACAACTGCAAATTAATCACACATTATGTGAACTTTATTTCCGAATTTTTAAATTTATTTTATACGGTTTGTAATTAAAATTAGATGTATTTTTAGATGAACATTGATTACAACCTAATTATTATAAATCTGTTTTGATTCAAGTGTAATAGTTATAAATAACAAGAGTCAATTAAATTTCAATTATCCAGAAAAAAGGGAAAAAAGGTTCAACAAATCATTAGACACACAAGTACAAAAGATTTATTGAATCATGGGATAAAAATGTTCGGAGACTTAATACCTAAGTTATAATTCTCAAGGAAATAATATAGAATATGCAGGATATTAATTTATGTGAATGATAAATAAATGCTCAGTTATTTTCACAGTTCAACAAACAGCTACGACAAAAGCATCAGTACATTTATATCACATCCGGAATTTCTAGAAAATCACTTTTATTCATATAATAATATGTACTTATCGATTTGGCAAACTCCATCTTTACAAAAGTTGCTGGATATTATAATTTATAAAATCTCATATTATACACTTTTATGAAAAAAACACCTACAGAAAGTCACAACATTGTACGATGTTATTGTGTTATTGTTAGTGGTAGACGGTAGTGTTGTATAAAGTATTATTGTACGTTGCATGTTTAATATAAATATTATGCGTATCTAACTTTTTTTTTGGCTTTTGCACTTGTAGGCAGTCTATCACTTAAAATATGGTTTTGCATGATTCACGAACAATTACATGAATTATTGTTCACCTATCGTTATTGTGTGGCTTAGAATTTTAAAACTACTATTACAATTAGAGTGTTAAGGAACTCACAAAAAAATATGTTCTGGAATAGTGTATGTCTTATTGCAATTTATACGAGATTTTGTTTACTGAAAAAGAATCTCACCATCTAAACTATCACGATAATATATTATACCAGAATGATTTAAACATACGTTTATTTGGTCGATGATAAAACGGTCTGAAAGTCTGAACTCTTACATCTGATAAGTTTTACATGTTGTGTGTTCGTATATTTGTTTCATAAAATATTGTGTATAACGAATGACGCCAAGGGCAGAATAATAATAGTACTGAGTTAGATTTAGCAAAGGCTGTTTGATTGTAAACAAAATAGAAAATGGTTTGGGAATGAACTGAGAAATGAAAAAAAAACGTTTCAGAAAAATAAAAAGTATTTAATATGTACGCCAACTTAAAAAAGGCAAATCAATAAAATGAAGGCAGGTAAACGGTGGAAAATAAGTACGACAAGAAATAAACGACGAGAATAAGAATAGCAATTTAACGGTTTTGTTAATGAAAAAGTATGAGGCACAAGATTTGTTATGGGAACTCGTCTCGCTTCACTCACCTTAGTGCTAGCCAATTTTTTTTATTATTATAATTTGTAAATCAAAAATGTTATAATTATTTCGTTTAATACAATTATGAACTAAGCTTTATTTAATATTTTGTACCATATATTTTAACAATACATGTATAATATAGTTTTACAATAAGTACTTTAAGTAATCATACCAATTAAAAAAAATATTGAAGAGTAAAGATTTTCAAAATTATTAATTAATAATAATTAAAAAGGTAATGATAAATTAATTTGAACAAAAATTTATAATATTACAGTTTAAAGTCCTAAAATTACATATTATAATACAATTAAACTGTTTAATGTTGTAGTTAGTAGTATTAATACTATCATAAACATGAGTCATCAGAATTTAAAAGTGTACAAAAAGTAAAATATTTCATAGTTTAAACATTAAATTTGTAAAGCATTTAAGGCCCATGGTTTTGGAATTATTTAATGTTTTTTGATAGATATTTTATCTTAAACCTACGTATTTTAACAATGAGATTCAAATGTCTACATGGTTATTTTAAAACTGTCAAAATTACAATAATTAATTAAAAAGGCATTGAATTAAGTAACCGTTTTGTAGTACAATTGGTGTGGAGTGTACTGTGCACCTCATCATTGAGATCACTGTGATGTTTGTGTAAAATTGGAATTTAATGATAAATAATTGCATACCGAAAACGAATCTGGAATCTGATCAGAAATGGTGGGTCATCCTGTATATACTGACTATTAAGTATCTAAGTATATTTCATGGTATATTAACTATATTATATTTATATAACTACTAATTCAGTAATTTATTTTACTATTATATATTAGTGATACAGTAGGTTGAATTAATTTTTGTCGAAAACATCGCATTCGAAAATGTCATTATGTGTATAAAATACTAAAGTGGGTAATGCTCTGCTGTACATTAGGTGTCATGTGGGTCATTGTAACGGATATGTTCAATGTGAATTCATTGATATAAAATCATTGTATACCTACGAAAAACGATTCTGCACAAGGAAGGTCTGTCAACCTATATATTAGTAGATATATTTTATGATATTATTGCTATTGAAGTAATTTATTTTACTATAAGCTATACAATTTAGGTTGAATTATTTTTTTTCCGGAAACATTGCATAATATGAAAATGTCATTGTGTGTATAAAATATAATAATAAACTTTAAAAATTTCAAGTGCCTACGAATAATATTTTTAAATTACAACAAATTAAGTAAAATCGTTGTCTTCGTTTAAACATCTAAATTTAAATTTCATATATCTATTAAAAAAAAAACCTATGCTTATATATTAAATTTGTAACCATTTATTTTGATTTCTAAATAAAAAAAAATATATTTCTTAGATTTATTGGTTATATTATGAACTACTTACGTGGAACATTGTTATACATTTTTAATCTGTAGCTATAAATATTAAAGTTTAGAAAAACTTATGAGAATATTTCTATACAATTTTCAAATTTTAGAAATAAAAGAATAATTTCTAACTCATAATAATTTTAAAGTATTCGTAATTTTGGAGAATTTTTCCTTCAGGTGCTGTTAAAAAAATATCTGGACTTAAGATGAACTTTTTATTTATTTATATTTAATTGTTTACTTCACTAATAACAACATATGAGAAATCTTGTATTCAATTTTCATATCTTATGTAATAAATATGTATTAGATACTTAAATGTATTGTATACAGTTACACACACACACACNGAATAATTTCTAACTCATAATAATTTTAAAGTATTCGTAATTTTGGAGAATTTTTCCTTCAGGTGCTGTTAAAAAAATATCTGGACTTAAGATGAACTTTTTATTTATTTATATTTAATTGTTTACTTCACTAATAACAACATATGAGAAATCTTGTATTCAATTTTCATATCTTATGTAATAAATATGTATTAGATACTTAAATGTATTGTATACAGTTACACACACACACACACACACACACACACACACGCATATTATACACACTTATAAAACCACACATCATAGTAAAATCAATACATTTGTCGCTTTGCTTAATATCTAAAATGAAATGTTTAGACTTTGCTCTCAACCACTCAACTGCAGGATGTTCCTCATTTCGTTATAGCGTTTTATCATTATCACAATATCGTGTCAAAATGCTAGAAGGTGGTAATACCTACTTTATACTTAAAACTATGTATTGAGCCCATTTCTTTAATAAAAAACAAAAAGATTTCTACTCACTTTGCAGCCGTCGACTAACACGTCCACTTTTGGTGATCCTTGTTCAGACGAAAATTGTATCGAATTTTCTCCCATAAACTTGACAGCCATGTCGTATGAGTTGGACTTTGCATTGAACCACGCAGCACTGTTGATGCACGTGTACGTGAAGTTTTGGTATCCATTTTGGCTGAGAAGTCGTAGGAAGTTCATTTGCACTGGTCCCACAGTTTCGTAAGTAATCTATTAACAATATAACAATGCAAAATATACATTTTAGCGAAATTATTGTGGTTTTACTGTATCTATCCACAGTAAGGTAATTCATACATTGAATGACATATTGTATTGTTTTATTCAAACACTTGAACAATTCACACCAAATAAAAACCATAATATTACATTTTGATAGCAAATATAATTCTGTGTTGTGGGTGGCAAAAATATTTGTAGCCAAAATGCAACATGCTTTTTGTAACGATAAGATTTGGTCGGAAAACACCCCGAAACAACCCAGGTTTATAACTTGATATTAGTTTGAAATGATTTCCAATATTGAATACTAAACCTTGAACTTTTTTTTAAATGTATATAAATTTAAATTGATGAAATTCTACTTATTATAAAATCATTTTTAATTTATCGTCTTTTTCGACAATTATTAAATTGGTTCCTACGATATTGATATATTTTTAGCTTTGAATTTGTAGATTTGACGTTACTACGTAATAAAATAGATGACAATGATTATTTTCAATGAAAGAGTGATGAAGTGCTGCTTTTAAGACATTTTAGAAGGTTATTATCGGTTGATTGTCAAAATATTTATTAAAAAGTATATGAATTTCTCAATAATACTATTGAAGATACATATTATATTGTCTATACATAAATCATAAATTTTTTTAAATAAGAATTTGAAAAATTAATTTGACTTTTACCAACTTGAAAAGCATAATAATAGATGAACATTTACCCACGCAAGAATTCCCAAAATCCATTGTTGGTTAAACATTTATATATTGTATTACAGTCTTAGAAACTTAAGTATTTTCGAATAACTTAATGAACATACATTAAACTAAGTATTCTAAAAATTATATAGAAATATAGTTTAGAAGAGGCAGATGGATAATAATGTAATTTTAAATAGTAGATGCATTAGCCAATAAGAATGCAAAATGTATTTTTTTGTAGAAAATGCCTAAGAGATATTTGTGTTAAAATTTTCTTAATTTCATAAATAAAATATAGGTATTATATTAAATGGAATTAAAAATAGTATGAGATGTAATATTTATTTTGTATAATATTATACATATTTATTTATGAATATTTTATACATAATGTCGAATATTGATTACTAAGTATAACTGAGATAACTAAAGTTGATTGAATCTTTTAGTATTATTGTTGTGATTTTATGGAGCTATCGTCAAGACGTGTTGGAAAAATAACAATAGTTTAATCTAATAAAAAAGCTAGTTTGTAAAAGTATTGTTAATTGCTACTGGCATTGATGTACGGAATAGATGTTGGGAATTTTACATTAAATTAGTTTTAACTACAATAAGGAACTTGCGAAGATAATATTCTTGAACAATAGACTCCTACAATATATAATCCTGTAGATTTAAAACTTTTAAGTTGAAGAAAAGTTTTTAGAGATTTTATGATTATTAATTTTGTTTTTCATTTTTATTAAAGATTATACAATCAATCGATCCAACCAATCGGTTGGATTTTTCAAATTTATATTGATAATTAAAAGAAGCTCAGTTGACTCAAATATTTGAGATTCAGCTCAATGTTTTCTATTTAATTTAAAAAAGATATTTGGAAAAGCAATGTGCTCGTAATAAGTAATACTTGGAGTAAAATAATAATCCTACCTGCCTCATTTCCACGAATTAGTACAATAAGAATAGTATTTTAAATTTTTTCCAGTAAATTCAGTTTTATTTAATCTTATACAAAATTATGAATGCTGATTATAAATAAAGTGGGTTATTATATGTTTAAAATTATGATGTTAAGTTATAATATTTTAATAGTAAGTTTATGAAAATAATAGATGAATTTCGCTCACTTACAATTCTTTAAAAAAAGTAAAGTTGTTGTACTTAGAATTGTAGAGCACAACACTGTACTCCGTACACTTAAGTTTTATTAAAAATAGTTCAATGTTTATTTAGAACAAAATATCTTAACATGCAAAAAAAGTTATTGTAGTTTGTTTTTTATATTGTTTGTGAATAAAAAAAGTGCATACTACGGATCTCTAAAAAAATTATTTTAGAACATGACCCTTGAGTTATTGTAACTTGTTGATATTTGCTAACTATGAAGGTGGTGTTTAGAATCATTTAGAAAATATACAAGAGTTTATAAATTTCAGTGAGTGTTATTTTGATTATTATACAAGTGCTTTTCAAATCCCACAACATTAATCTTAATTATTTTTTTGAATTTTAAGAGTTGTTTTTAATTTCCCATGAGACGTGTATTAAAGAAAAATATTAACTTGTAATGTGTTTTATATAGTGAGTCTATATGAAATAGATAATTAAAACTAAATCGTTAAACAATGATGAGTAATTTCGTACAATTAGATTACAACTATAAACCTAATAAATGTACATGCTTCATGTGTACGTGTTTATAGTAATGAATGTGTTCAATAAATTACAGTATTAAAACCGAAGACTCGAAATTACACCAAAAAGGATGATAATATGGTGTTGCGTTAATCTTCTTATAAGATACCTTGCTTAAGATTCGTCAAACGATGATAAATGTTAGATGGAACACTCTGGGATTTATACAACACTTCTTGCTTCACCCATTTATTTAAAGGCCTTATATTAGGAATAAGTAAAAAAATGCATCAGAAAATAATATTTGTGTACGAACAATAAAAAAAAATGTTTACATTTATTAATATTTATCTATCGAACATACAGTATGTTCGTCAATATTTTTGAGTGGTTTTTTGTTAGCATAGTTTTTACCATTTACACATCTTTCAATTCCATAAAAATGAGTATAAATATCTTATTTTATATGTAAGTAGGTACTTACATGAATGTAAAAACTGAATTTTTAGTATTTCATTTAATGAGAACATAAATTTTTTTTCTATTTTAATTTGGTACTCAAAATGGCTATAAGTTATTACCCACTTCAAAACATATACAGAATAATTATTAATGGAAATCAAATTGTTTATTTAAGCGTAATCGACAAAAAATCGATTAAAAAATCCTGATTATACGAAGATCTAGGATTAAAAATTACAATACAATTTATTGTAAGCATCTATAGCGAATAAGTAATGACATTTTATTGATTATTATTTGAATATTTTTTCCATTTTTTAGCAATTATTTTTTCTGGAAAATTCAATGAAATGATATATTATGAAATTAAATCATACACATTACACATACATGATAAATGTCATAATAATTATAAAATAACGATAGTAAAGTTGCGCGCAATGGAAATTAATAAATAATTTATTATTTATGAATTATTGAAAACATTCTTCCATCGTCCTATAACAAATATCGTACCCGAGCCGCAACAGTCGTCATCACAATATAACGGCCGAGGAGTAGGTTACATTAAAATGTTCAAATATAACTATTACATGAGATCCTGTCCTCAAAAGTATGCTGATGGATTTCCGGTGATGCTGTCACCGGGGTAAACATAAAACGATTTTTTATGACGCATCATTCGACGGTGATGTGTGGCAAATGGCGGCGAGCTAACGCGGGGAAAAAAGTTTACCCGAAAAATCGCAGCCCCAGCAATCATGGCGATTAAAATGTAATTCGATTTGGCAAACGTTGTTTTTTTTTATTTTATAATATTTTTGAATACCTGCTGCGACATCTACGCACACGCCACACACGACACAGACGAGCGCAGTTTACTATATTATCGTATTTCAATAATATCTTACTTTGAAACCACCCCTGAGATTTGAATACCAGTCCGTCTTGTCACCCTCCTTACGCCACGGGATGTTCGGCATTTGACTTGAGTGTATGTCTGGAAATACGCAAGTTTCTCCTCCGCTACTCATGTTACAGTACACGTACACGGCATCGTATGGCATACCCAAGTTTGGGTCAATCCAGTACCATCCTAAAACGCATTAACACCGTCATTGGACCGATATTACAAAATAATTTTATAATTTATAGAGACGTTTGACGTAAATATCTACGATACAGTTCGTAGTACTCCAATGCATACCTAATATATTATTATTATACAATATTCTCATCTGACACTATTATTAATGATTATCAATAATATAAAACGGTTCGTCTGGCGGTCAGGTAGCGATTATAATATAGCCTTGCGAAATCAATCATTCTACATTGAGCTCGCCCCAAAATTATAATATTATTATTTTTGCTTGAATTCGACAAGATATATTTATCGTTCGCCAATGGCAATGGAATAAATTATTAGTAATATTACATATAGACAAATTCATAACGGTTTAGTTCATTGAAATTCAGTTTTAAATTTATATTATTTTCATACATTTTCGGTACGACAATATTCTCT